AACAATGTACAAACGAATTCAATTCTTATTTTGCCGAAATGACTTGATGAATAGGATCGAAAAAGATAGGGAAAAGATTGGATTTACTGCATCTATAATTAATTATGGAAAACAATCTATTAGCACAAATGAATTGAAAACGCGCGGAATGTTATTACCTAAAGCTGTTTAAACTAGACTCCTATGGGTGGCCGTTACGGTATATTCCAGACCTCAGCAAGCCAAGAAATAGGACGAAGCGGCTGCCGAAAGACCGTTGTTGCCGCCGTGCAAAACGAACTGAAAAGTTCTGAAAGGAAGCGTGAAGGTTACTTGCAAAGTCTCAATTGTATTTTGTTACTATCGGAAGCGGAAGGAAAATCGCCATTGGTTGGATTTTAGTTGGCTGTGTTACATTCGCGTATGGCCGTTGTCGCAAACTAGCCTGAATCTAGATAAAATCTTGTTTAGCAACAAACGAAGCTCTTTGGACTTCATAAAGACTATCCAGACGTTAAAGATATCGAGGTTTTACTCCACAAGCAGAAGGGATCCTAACCGCATTGCAGAATATATATAATTATACTGTATAAGGAAGTTTGTTTGATGTGCTCTTCAAGACAAACACATTTGTCCATAATAACAGAATAATTTCTAAACTCTTTGGAATATCGAAAAGGTGTAAAGAAATACTGTATATTTTGGATAGTCATACTACTTCACAAGTCGAAACGAATCCCAGGTTTGTACATGCATCATTTAACAAAAACCGCCTAAATAGCAGATTTAAACAAAGCAATAAGCTTTAACTCTTTTTATATTCGTATTATATAATAGCAGGTGACTATATAATAAGATATATATCTGAATTGATTAAAATGGCATACAGCCGCTACGGCCTTGCAATCATGCGGTTAAAGTTCAAGATTTAAACTGAAAATTGCTTAGCAACTCTATTTTCTTCTTCACTTCCCCCTCGCATAGATGTTTGCTGAAAAAGTGAAAAGTGATAAGTAATCACACTCTCGTGAGGTGCATGGGAAGCGGATATAAACGGCGCAGTTTCTAAAACACAGCCGGCTAATCAAGTCCTTTTGTAAACAGGAAATACTCAGAATCACGAATAGACGTGGAGGGGAAAATTTGTGTAAATGAATTGGAAATAAAGCCGTCCGTTTTAGTTAGACTTCACACTAAACATCTGCATGGGTGCAAAAATTAAAAAGGAATAAAAAACATATATTAGATTAATCATAAAGACTTCTGATAAAGAAAAGACTACAAAAGAGGAGAGATTCTGAGCGAAGGTAAAACGACCGCACTTTAAGGCATTAAAAATATATAGCTGATAACAGCGCCACCTCGATTCCCATTAATTTCATTATCAGTCCAATATATAGTAAAAGCAATTAATATATGTGCTAGAAAACATGCACTAGAAGCCTCTGCAATATAACAGCATTAATTTGATCGAATTTTATCAACCGACCTGATAATTATGAAAATTTTAAGAGATTTGTTATCGCCGCTAATTTCAACGCAAATATGTAGACTTCCTTCAACATGACCAAAGCTTTAAACTCGTTCCATAGATATATTTTGAGCAAATAAATAAATTCCTTGAGACTGTATATAATACTGTTCGTGAGTATTCTGAAGAATTTGGACTGTTTTTCATACAAGTAAAGAAATATTAGGACAAAGATAAATATTTTAGAAATGCAAAACTTCTATTATTTTGGCCGTTGTTGGGTTGATTAAATCTTAGACATACGCCTGTATTCTGAAAGCTCACTCACACTCAAACTCATTGAGTGGGAGATCTTAATCTTCTCATAACGTTGTGACGGCAATGCGTTGTGACGGTTGTAATGGTGGTATTTCCAGCTGAATTGGAGCTTGATTTTTAGTGATTTACCTTATATCTTTCCATCTATTCAGAAAAAACTTTCTCATTGATCAGCATTAACGGAATTTATATGTCACACTCGATGAGTATGAGTGTGAGTGAGCTTTTTGAATACAGCCGGGCGTTAGTATTCCTAAATCAAGGATCCTCTTTAATAATTGTTGGTTACAAAGCCGAAATTTGATTGCTTTTCAAGCGTTTTTAAAACGGTTGAAAAACGTTGATCATGATCCGGTGGCGGTGGATATAGCGCTATCCAGCTTTCGTTCAACTGGACCCAGATCAACAATCACTACAGTAAACATTAATCGACATGAAAGATTTCGCCACGTTTTTTATACGTGACTTCATGATGTAGACTAAATATCAACGATGATAAAACGCCGATTAATAAATCAAAGAAAAAAGCCATTTAGCTCATGCAAAAATTCATCACACTGCCATTCGCCATAATTGCAAAAAAGATAACCTTTAATTCCGGTCAGTATTGAAAAAGGATTAGAGCGGATTCTCACTATATTTGCATGCGAAATAGCAAACAATTTAAAAATGTTTACCTAGTGAAGTGCACATTTGAATTTGCAAAAACTCGCATCTTTTTCATGAAAGTTTATGTCGAGTTTGTAATATATAAACAAGTGCTTTGCTTTGTTTACATTCCGAACTGCCGTACTACGTTCAATATATGTTTTATTGTTTAGACGCGAAAAGATATGCTCAATATGTTAAATTAGCTTTACTGAACTTCTATTGTAACTTGGCAGTGTTTGAAACCGTTTTGACATAAAAACGAATGTGAAAGCGCTTGAAAACGTTACCGTGTGCACATACCTTAATTTCTATGCCTATTACTAAATATGAACTAGAGTTGGTGTGCGGATGTGGATGAATTACCATAAAAGCATTTAGTTTACATCTATTAGTCACAAACAGATGATATGAACACTCAAAATCATCTGCCTAGATCATATAATGGCATATTTTAGAGCATTTTTTGCACCCAAATTAAAAAAGGCTAAAAAACAAGTAATTCGGGAGAATTTCCAATGTGTAACTAAACGTGGACCGCCTATACAATAATATGATTACAAAAAACATATTCAATGCATTTTCTATATACATGTATATAAATTATAATACATTTTCATCGTTACACTAGATGTTTTCGTTTCATAGGAAACAGATTCCAATCAATTGTAGAAGATCGAAAAATGTTTTACTGCAGTCGACTGGAAACCATAAATAAATAATGCATATGGTTTCTTTCTCGTTCTCGTTCGAAGAATTATTACTTATTACGTATAATATTGAAAACATCCTCATTTCAAAACGTAAGACAGGTGAATCCTGTAAACAAAATATCGTTTGGATGTTGAAAAACTGCATTAATTTGTCTCATTTAGCATTTTTGTTTGTATTTTGGATATAGGATTGTGAGATATATCTTCCTCGTCAGAGTAATTCCTCCTCAAAAGAGATAACGAAGCAGAAGTTTGGAAGAAACAAACGTCCGGATTTGGATAAGTAAAGCGTTCATTGTGTCGGCAATGGAAATTGAATGAAATGGAAATTAGTCTGTCAATAACAGGTCTTTCATTTTTTTCTTATGATAATGGTAGGAAATGACTTCCGTTTAATTAAATAGAGGAAGTTATAACAAAAAGGAAGTGACTGTCGAGAAGTGCTTGGGTTTCTTCTTCCAAAACGTTGTGCTAAAACTGCACACTTTGAAAAGCAAGTTTTTTCGAAAACAAAACAATTTACGGCTATGTTGGATACTTTGTGCAATTCCAACATGACTTCGCAATCACAGGCGGAGTCCTACGCTACCGCAATCCTTTCCGGCCTATTGGCTCTGGTTACAATTCCTGGAAACGTCCTAGTCTGCCTGGCAGTTCTAAAGACATCGAACAGAAACATCCGAAATCCTTTTAACTATTTCGTGCTGAGTCTTGCCGTCGCCGACTTGGTGGTCGGTTGCCTGACCGAACCATTGTCGGTTTATGTCCACGTGAAAGAAGCCTCGGGTGGTCGTGTAGAGCACGTGGAATTGGAGTTCCTTCACATGTCCTATTTCATATCTTGTACCTCTTCCGTGTTAAGCATCTGTCTTCTCGGAATCGAGAGATATGTTGCAATTACTTCGCCGCTTAAGTTCAGACTGTTCTTCAGTGTACGAAGATTTCTTCTCCTGGGGACTATACTTTGGTTGACATCGATAGGCCTGTCATCGATTTATCTCGTCACAAACTACACGACTTATGCTCTGATCTTCAGCACAAATGCGGTCGGCTGGACTCTGGGCGTGAGTATTTTTACGTACACCAAAATCTTGAGGACGTTCAACAAAAGGCTGAGAAACTCTGCAATACAGCGAAGAAAGAAAACAACGATGTCGAGTGAAACAAAATCGCAGTCGGCGAATGTCGGGTTGCAGACGGTAAATCGTCATCATAGGTCGCCCTCAAAACAACCGCTATCCCCCGCGGTCGTTCCAAAACACAAATCCAGGTTAAGTTCCTCGCCTGCAACGCACGATGGTAACGAATCTAAGTCTAAAACGCACCACGACGCAAAGGGAATGATTCCAACGACTAAAAGTCAAAAAAACGATTCGCTCCCTAATCCGTGGAACGTGAAGTTAACGAAAACCTATCTGGTAATCATATCGATATTTCTCGCGTGTTATTTTCCCGCGTGTGTCGTGATATACACTATGAAATGGTGCAGCACGTGTAGCTGTGAGACCCTGCGTTATTTGCAAGATTTGCAGTTCATAATCATAGCCGTACAATCCGCGTTGAACCCGTTCGTGTACGCTTTCCGCTTTAAACGTTTCCGGAACGCCGTGATGCAAATGCTACACTGCCGCCCGCGAACGCGAGCTAATGTACGGTCAACGGTAAACTTCAAGAGTAACATGGCCCTAACCAAGAGCACGTTGTCACTGCAAGTCTCCGCGATAAAGAAGCACTCTTCCGAAGAATTATGAGACAAAAACGGTAATTGTAAATACTGCAACTAAATTTGTAAATAATGTCTGTAACTTTCAGGCCAAAGATATTGTAAATGATTTAATGTGTTGCATTAAATGTCTGAATCTTTCCTGAATTTTACCTCAAATTACATTGTTGTTTACTCGTCATAATACATACCAGAATGTCATATTTTTTACCCAGTTTTAAGCAGTTTGACTCGAAGTATCATTTGCCCTTTTTTATGTGTTTTATTTGCAAATTAAAACCGAATAAAAACTTTCTTTTAATCACGTTGAAACTCGACATTTTCCAGCGCTAACTTAACCGAATATAAGAACAAAATATCAGCATATTTTCACAGATATCTAAAATAAAGGCGATAGATAAGGTTACATTATGTATTACAATATTTCTTTACGAAAGGAAACAAAAAATACACGCTAAAAAGATGATTAAAACCACAGCAAAATTCCGATGGAAATAAGGCTTAGTTTTAATCACCGGCGAACATCTCTTGGTTTTCAACGGACATTTGTAGTCGTCTTCAACACTCAAAATATTTTTTCTTGCATCTTCCCAGGTATTTGGGCCTTGGAGCCGATATTGAGCCGGAACAGCAGGCCCAAACAAACAATGATAGGCAAGTTGAGGGTCTCTTGCAAAAATTGACCACAAGTCAGGCTTTGCTCCGATCATTTCAGTAATCTCGTCCATGTAGGCTATCATCGGAACCTGAAATGTTTCATCAAATGAAAGAGGGATTTTTATAGTTGTTCATTTAACAAGGAAGAATTGCGTTTTCGACCAATCAGCGCGTTTGTTTACATATTCAGTAACCCGATCAGAATGCAAAAATTTTGACTACATGAGAAAGGTACATTATTTACCATTTTACATGAAGTATGAGAAACTTAGGCATTCTGATTGGCTTTGCCTGAAAAATGTAAACAAATATGGCGATTAGTTTAAAATGAAATTCCATCTTTTTATTCATTCGGCTAGATTCAGCTATTCTTTTATAAAATTGAACCCACTTCAAACGAAGTCTTAATGTTACATTTTGCAATTGTATCGTGCGTGCATTTCAAAAGAAACAAAAACATCATTTATGATAATATATCAATCTTTTTTCTTAAACTTTCACCTTCGCCTCTGTAAATCACTGTAAATCCGAAATTTTATGAAAATACTGTCAGTTTTAAAACGAGATTTACAAAGGTTGAACATTAACGAAATGGACAGCAAAACTGGCCAAAATGTTGAGACCATATGTTAAATAAAACTTGAAACTTTGAAAAGTTTTAATAGACTTCATTTTATCCTTTTTCAAGCTTTTTGTGTTTCAATTTTGACAAGATGTGAATTAAAACTCAAACTTCGCCATATATTGTAAAACGTTTGCAAGCTTAAAATGCAAGTTGAAACCTTTCCATTGCACTTACTCCATGTAAAAACTTCTCTTTCGATCTACCAATGTTTGAGAGCTGTTCTTCCCTCGCTAAGCATTCAGCCAGCATGTCCTTGTTGCTCGGCAAAACACATCTTTCGGCAAAAACCTCGGCAGCCACCCTGGCCTGCATTTCCCAGGTGGGTACATCCGAGCCGACGGTCTCAATCAGGCCTATAAATGCCAGAGTTTGGCGATGTGCTTCCGGGATAAATATATGCTTATACAACCTGGAATATAACAAAGACATCGACAGAAGATGAATAAATATACAACATAACAAAATGGAATTTTGTTTTCAAATAATTGGCATATTTGTTTACGTTTTTCAGGAAAGAAATTTTTCAGAATGCCTATAAAATTTGATACTTCATGTAAAATGGTGTAAATAATGAACTTTTTACAGTCAAAACTTATGCATTCTGATTGGGTTACCGTAAATGTAAACAAACTTGCTGATTGGTTTAAACGAAATTCCCCCTTTGTTATATAACATAAATATGATTTACAGCTCAATAATTTATAACGAACCTTGCATAATGTTCGTTCTCGACAGGGATAATATCAGGTGCAAATGGAAAATCTAATTTAAACCCAGTACAAAAGATGATAGCATCAATATTCTCCAACACTTCTTCACCTGTCGAAAATGATCACGTTGGTATTAGCTACATGTAACAGTGTAGATCTAAATCTCAACATTTTCACGTTCTGAATGAAGACTATATATCAGGAAACCTGCCTACACCATCGAGGTTTACTACATGAGTTCACTAATTTTGTAGATAATTTACCCATTGGAGATAATCTTTGTTGACAGCGTGCAACTTATAAAAGTAAAAAACACACACACACCGCCAAATACTACAGACGTTTCTCGTAGCTCCTTGAGTTCGCCTTTTACAATAACTCGACCAGTGATTATTTTAGTCGGTAGTTCATCGTTGACAAATCCAAATTGATTAACTCCAAGGACACCTGAAAAGCCAGAATCTGCGTTGTATTTCAATATCGTATCGTGTGCTCCTCTTTTCATAACGGCAAATCAATTTTAATGAAAAATTTTTAGTTTTAATGCATGATCGATTATTGTAAATTTCCCTAGTACTAATAAACGTATTAATAATTTTAAAAAAAATTCAATGAAAACAAAATGAATTGAGATGAATACCGCTGGGTTGTAGTCCAAGACGCACAAAATCGTACTCCGTGTTGTGGACACCGCTAACGTAGAATCGCTTCAAATTTTTGTTTACTAAACCCGCAGCCCTCGTGATTTGATGGTCGAACGGTTTTGTGGTACCAGGTACTAGGCGTTTTACGATGTAACCGCCGCTTCTTGTGCTGAGGTACACTTGAGATGCGTGCAGGCTCAGCTCAATTGAAATATCACCTGCAACCAGAAGGTTAAAAGGCCTCTTGAAAGGTCAGTTCTTTCTCATGAAACGTATACTTCAATATACTACCAATATATTTATGAATGTGGCCTAAATTATATTCTACAGATTAAAGGTTGTATTATGGCTACAAGAACTTTTATAAAACAACGATTTTGGAGTTCCACATATCGGTCGTGTGTTGAAAGAAACAAACCGAGAGGAGAGGAGGGGGGCTAAATAAAAGGGAGAATCATAAATTCAAGATGTCCGCCGTTCGAGGCACCCCTCCCTCGGTGCGTAAATCCCGGACATATCTTCCTGCATTATAGGTTTTCAAGTTAAGATTACATTCGTGTATGCGGGATATTTATTACCACCCAAAGATCTTTCGGCATATTTCAAAATTAACTTGGTAATACCCCAACAGAATGCGCACATGATACATGCTATTGTGGGGGACGTTTAGGTTCAGTGATTTAGCACAGAGTTGGTGGTTTTCAGACTAAAATATTTGATATCTTTCCCGATTACGCAACCCCTGGGTATTTGAAATATTGCTATAATGGCATGTTTTTTACAGCACCAACCTGCAGAAGAGCCACAGCCAACGACAACAACTCTCTTTCCAACATAAGGCTTAAAGCTTCTGTAATCTCCACTGTGCACTTTAGCACCTTGAAATTGCTTCATTCCTGGAATATCAGGTATGGATGGAATGGAAAGATGCCCAGTGCATATCATTACAGCATCAAATATCTCCTCGTCTATTTGGATCCCATTGTTCGGCGCCTCATTTTCGGCCTGCCTGAAATTTTGGAAAAATAACATGTATATAACGTTTGTTCTGATTGGTCGAAGCAATCCAAACACGGAAATTTAATTCGCGTATGGAAATCAAACTTGGAACACTACCTCCTTTTTTAATTTTATCATGTATAGTAAAATCACATATAACAAGGATAAAAAAATCATAGTCTTTAACTATCCATGATTTTATAAAGCGATTACTTATTGGTTTCCCGCCGTGTTTTGATGGCCTGATCTAAACATGCACGTGCGCGCTTTTCTTAACACTCGTAACATTCCCGCGTGTTTGGATCAGGCCATCCAAACACGAAAACCATGCATGAAGTAATTAATTATTAATAACTATCGATTTGTGATACAGTAATGCATGCGTGTGATGAGTCACTGGAGAGAACAATTCGATTTTACAGCGGACAGTTTTGGATCAACAATCCGCGTTTTAAAAAGTTTCAGCAACTCCTGCCTAAATGGAAAACATGCAACGACCGCAGTTGATTGCAAAGACCCTAGTTCATTCCAATAGATAGTGGGAAACACATAAATTTTGACTACATACTGATCATCGCAGCCCCGACCAGACGACAAGTAAATTCTATATCAGTAATCGACGCTATACTTAGCTAATATAGAAGAGTTTTCCAGCATTTTTTCGACAAATTGAATAAATTTGAAAAGAAAATATCAAGAGCAATGGTTTTAAGGAATATTTTCTAAGAGGCTTTCAAAAGGAAGGCTAGAAAGACGTTTTGCAACTCTGGCGAAATGATTCTATGTGTACAATCGATCCACGCACGACCACCCATGCAACATTAAAAATATTGTAACTATACGCTATGTAAATTTCATGCGGTAATAGGTATATCCTCTGTATTATGTATGTATTATCAATAATTTTATCACAGCACTTTCAAAGCGTAGCCTCACAGACTGAAATTCACACATATTATTCATGCCAAAAATTCCAAGGGGCTGTATACAGATTCCGGTTCAACGAGGCGCGAGATGATGTTGGAGGAATGAAATCAGCAAATAACGTGAGATCGGGCAATCGTGTGATCACCCCGACAGTAACATATGCTAGTTTCGTCTTATAGATTTATCTTAATACTTCAAAGTCATCTCACGCTTCGTAGAATCCCGGTAGATTGTCCCTAAGTCTACAGCAATGGGGGGGTTCATTATGACAATGCAATAATTTAATCTCTCATGATCAGGAAATTTCTATAGTGGTTAATATCAAAAGTCTGACTTCGGACGAATTCACGAGAGGAATCGATTAAAAATTGTTGCTCTTAAAGCATCATAAAAATCGCATAAATGGAGTTGCAGCCCGTAACAGCCGAAGGGCGGTCGATAATTTTAAGATGCAACATTGTAACACCACATGCGACATTTATTACACCACACAGACTTTCGCGTCTGGCCTATAGAAGTCTGTCACTGTTTATTAAAAGACAGCGTGAATTGGGTTTATATCTAAATATATTTTGCAATCTACAGTCCTTGCCTTGTAACTTCCTGATTATAGCAACTGTTATGTTTATAGATATTAGATACCTTGTATTCCTTGTATAAGATAAAGCCCATTTGCCGGTCTCGTTGTAATCCGTGGCCTTCGATAGCTTTGTGACCTTCGTATTAAACCTGACGTACTTCTCTAAGCCAAAGTTCTCGGCGTACAATCGTAAGTACTTCATAAACAGACGATGGTGAAGGTAATTTGGCCATTCCTTGGGCACAGGAAAGTCAGAAAAGCACATTATTGCTTTGCTAATGTTGGTTACCGTGCCGGAATGCACGGAGCCCAAACCCGGTCGAGGTTCGTCGGTGTAGTTCCAAATGCCACCAAAGCTTGATTGCTGCTCAAAACATGTCGGTTGCAAACCAGCATCGAGGCAGCATTTAATGGCCGTCAGACCTCCGACACCACAGCCGATAATTGCGACTTTTTTGGCAACCATTTTGGTTAACTTTATTTGCCGGTAAAATATGATTGCACGTTTGTGTAGATATGGTAATTGGATTGGACTTCGCACCCTGAAGGCATATTCTTAGGTGTCAAGCCGTAAGTGTCTGTTCACACGATCCAATTTTGTTGGATTCAATTCACTTAATTCTGATGAATGTTTTATAGTCTGTTGTCTTGTAGTGTATATCAGCAGCAAATCCACTGAAGCCAATGTACTACTACAGCTACATCAATCGCCGACTATATGCCATACGTCAAAAGTGAATTGGATCCAAGAAAATTGGATCGTGTGAACAGACCTTCAGTGTCAAATTTGCAGCGATGAATTTAATTAATTCATATGGCATTATGAAATAAAAAGATAAGAAGGCTGAAGACATTTTGCTCTAAGCGAGCTAATACTACATGTTTGAAGAAGAAAATACACAAGTTTATATTAGGCTGTTGCGGTTGATCAAAATATTGATAAAGATCGGTTTATTGAATAACGATATTGATTTTTCAGATTTTTCATTCGATACTGAATTTTTTAGTTGATCGATATTTCGATATACCAAAAATTGGGTGAAAAAAATTCCATACTTTTCGCGTTATAGAATCACCCGAGGTTAATGATTAATGTGCTTTTAATCGGGTCTTTAAATGTTTTTAATGACTATTGACGATGCTTTATTAGCGACTCTATCAAACTTTGGTGCTAGAGTAGAGTATAATGGTCTAAGCAGAGATGTATAGTGTTAGATGTCAATTTAGTGAGCATGCTCACATTTCGATGCGTCTGATAAACGACTCATCAGTTAAAAATATGAAATTTTTTTGGTAAAAGAGCATGTTACTATGACGCTGTCCGCATCTTTCAGTATTTGCAGTGTCTGGTGAATCATGTTTTTGTTGAAATATTTATAGAACGTCGTGTATGGAGAACAAAACTCACCAAAATCGATGTGGAACATTTCTCCACCGCCAGTCTGCCATCGATTGAATTGTTTTAATTGACATGTCGCCATCAATTCAATTTTTACATTTAATTTCCCCCAGAATTAAAAAGATTTTTTAATAAAGAAGTATCTATCCTATGATCTTGGAGATGCCCAGCCACAGTTGGGCAAATTTTCAGTATGTATACAATCTAAATTCACAAGGTACATTATCGTCGTATATGTATATTAATTCATGACGATATAATTCTAAACCAAGTTCAGTCATCCCATGTACATAGGACTTCCCATTACCTAGTTTACCTCGAAAAGCGGTGTGCCTCATTTCACTAGCCCGATTCTTCACAAAAGATAACGAAGAAAGTAAGCCAAGAGAGCTCCAAAAACCACAACAAGAACCCAAAACAAATATGAAGACTCCTTCTTCGCCATCATCGGCTCGCATCTTTTCGCTTTCAACGGGTATTGGTAATCTTCTTCGACGCTTTTTATCACATTTTTTGCACCTTTCCAGGTGTTTGGCCCTTGTAGTCGATATTGGGCGCCGATTCCCGGCCCATAGAAACAGCAGTAGGCTAGTTTAGGGTCTCTTAGAAAAATGGACCACAGGTTTGGCTTAGCACCTATCAACGCGGACACTTCGTCCATGTAGGGAATATTCATAACCTGAAAGATATGGTTTTTAAAAATCGACTTGTAAAGACAGGACAAACATCGTATACTAAAGCAATACTTGACGCAAAACGTGACTGTCAGTATGTGTAAAGCTTGCAACAAAGTTAATTTTTTGACTTGACATTCGATCATGTTCACTTACACCGTACAAAAACTTTTCCTTCGGTCTGCCAATCTTCGTAAGGTATTCCTCTTCTGCCACACATTCAGCCACCCTGTCCGCTTTGCTCGGCAGCACACACCTTCCGGCAAACACCTCGCAAGCCACCCTGGCTTGGATCTCCCAGATCGGAGGATGTGCTCCGATGGTCTCCATGAGCCCTATCACAGCCAGGGTTTGCTGGTCTGCGTCCGGTATGAAGATGTGTTTGTACAACCTGAGTGTTGAAAAAATAATCTGATGACATTCACATTAATGAACAGCTTGGTTGACTCTACAAAGTTTACTTCTGCTTTTCAAGAGAACAACTGCGTTGATTTACTTTTTCCTTGTATATTTTGTAACTGCTTATCATCTCTGTCGTGTTATTGTGCGGGTATTAAAATACAGCAAAGACGAACAAATTATTTGTGCACATGTTTTGAATTTAAAAAATAAACCAAGATGATGGCGGCAATTGCAAACAACCTATATGAAAGTCGAAACCAGTGACACCCTCGAACTAAACACGAGTAAATTTAAATGCAAATCATGGACGAATTGAAGCGAATGCTTTTTGGTAGTGGAAACATCAGATTTGTACATATAGAAAAGTCGGAAACAGACTTGGTTTTAAATTTATACCTCGTATAATGGCCATTCTCGACCTCAATGAGATCAGACGCAAATGGAAACTTCAAATCAAAACCGGTAGCATACACTATGGCATCGATGTTGTCCACCACGTCCTCACCTGTGTGGGGAAATCGTTTGGTCAATAAAAAGCATACAAAATCAATCATTATAACTTTATATGTCTGTGAAAATTCATCCAATTTAAAATCTCAACATTAAGGACTTCGTTTTCCCTATGGACGGTGGAGGATGGAATAAAAATCGAATATAAACAAATTGTCAGGTTTATAAAAACGAACTAATTTGTGAATAATAACAGTTCTATGTATTGCAACATTTTTGTATATGAAATTGATCTTATTGAATTTTACGTTCTAAGAATACTCAAGAACTTCATTTTCTCCCAGAATGGTGGAGGATATAACAAAAACAGTCACGAACCGTCAAAGACCACAGACGACCCCCTAAGTTCCTTCAGTGCCCCCTTTACGATCACGCGACCAGACATAATTCTGGTTGGCAATTCCTCGCCGAAGAATGGAAATTGCTGAACCATCGCGACTCCTGTGACAGATTAATTGCAGGTGTAATGAGAGAAATAAGTATCATATATATTAGTTTAATTAGTTGTTATTAATTGCAAAGCAATTACCCGTAGGTTGAAGACCGAGACGTACAAAATCGTACTCTGTATTGAGAACACCTTTAAAAAGGCTGCGATTGAAATATTTGTTGACGAAACTCTCTTGCCGCGTGATCTGATGATCAAACGGTTTTGTGGAGCCTGGCACGAGACGTTTAACCACATAACTACCCTGCCTTGTGCTCAGGTACACTTGTGACGCGTGAAGGCTCAGCTCAATGGAAATATCACCTAAAAACATAGTCGTTGTTTGAGAATCTCCCGACCAGAGCATCATCGTCTTCGACAACTAAAGGCCTGTTCACACGATGCAAATTTTTTGGATCCAATTTACTTCTAACGTAGGTAATAAAGTCTGTCATTGATAAGGCTATACTGCATTATCTTAGTTGATTTACGGCCCATAAACTGAAGGTTAGTCGGCTATAAAACATCAATCAGAAGTGAATTGGATCGTGTGAACAGACCTTAACATCAAACGAGTGTCATTTTCGGTTCGGTTCATTATTTGGGTCGAAGTTTCAGCGGGATCAGTGATTTTCAGAAACAGCAATACCTACCAGCCGAATAACTGCTACCCACAACAACAACCCTCTTCCCAACAAAAGGATGAAAACTTCTGTAGTTCCCGCTGTGGACTTGAACACCTTTGAAATCTTCCATTCCTGGAAACTTAGGTGTAGCTGGATAGCAAAGATGTCCAACGCAAATCATCACCGCATCGAACGTCTCCTCAATCGTTTCACCCTTGTGATTCTCCTCCGTAACTTTCCCATCTTCGGATTTTCTGAAAAGATTAGCGATATTTCTTTGTACAGAGCCAGACCTCGTGTGATTAATAACCTAATATATTGCCATGTTGCACAATATACATTTAGTATAGAATAGCCGCTATGATGTAAGAAGCCAACTGGATGAAACAGATTGAACTGGATTACCCGCCATTACCTCGGCTGTGCAGTGCAAGTGGGGATGCATAAAAATCACGAAGACGTGCATTACAAAACTGTGTGTTCCTAATCGAAGCCCTAATGCATACTTCCTATGCAGAAAAGGTCTTTAATATCAATAGGCGGCCAATCCGGCCATTCAAACAAGGGGAAATTATGCAAAACGCTTGTTCGCGTCTTAAATAAGACGGGCTTAGCAGACTCGTATTATAAACGTACAGCCCCCGTCTTAAGTCCGGCTACACGGCGATTTTTGAGGTCGATTTTCTTCTCCTGGTGTATGTTATTAGGTAAATCCAACAGAGTAGGTTACTTTACTTCGCCCAGCATAAACAACTGCGTAAATAATTCACACAAAAGCATACGCTGTGCCTTATAATTGTCTTCGATGAAAGGCTGCGAATGCATGTGATGTCTAAAAGAGTCTCTCAAACGCAAGAATTGTACAGACATAAAAACGTTTATCACTGCACAAATAAAAGGGAGTTTAGTGTGCCTCGAACCCAGAATTGCCAAGTTTGCCTGCAAAATGTGAAGTAGTACACAAAAATATAGCCATGCGAAGTTGGCAATTTTTGAATACTTTGTATTGTGGGCGAAGGTAGGTCTGAAACTTATTTAGTTACACTCTTCATAATACATAGTATACAAAATTTGCCAACTACGCTTGGCTATATCTTCGGTACTTTGCAATATTCCGCAGCCAAGAACTTTTCTTTTTTACAATGTTTAAAACACAGTTTTAATCATGCAAGCACAATGCTTTCAGATTAATTGTTTACACACAATCTAAATAAAAATTCGTGGCGAGCAAACATTATCTTCGCCGCCAACTAAATAAAAATGAAATAAAAATGAAGTAAACCTTGGAATATTCGCCGGAAAATCCGTGGATTCTCTAAATCGGAATTTGAGATTGATTTGTATCGATTTCCTGGGCCAAAAATGCATATCAAATTATGAATCAAACTCTGATTCAATTAAAGTAACTCGCTGAACCCGAGTTTCAAATATTCGTTACAACTCCTTCCATTCAAGAATTCAGTTGCAATTGTAGAAGGTATTTTAAAATTTAAATACCCTGAGAGCTAAGACAGTTATTCGTCTACCTTGTGTAGGATACGAGCCATCTTCCGGTCGTCTCGTGATCTGCGGCCTTGGAAAGCCTTTCCACTGTCGTATTGAGTTTCACGTATCTCTCCAAGTCAAATTCCTTCGCATACATTTCAAGGTATTTCATGAACATGCTGTGATGCATGTAATTCGGCCATTCCTTTGGCATCGGATAGTCGGAGTAACATATTGTTGCTTTGCTGACGTTCGTTATTGTGCTTGCGTGGACGGAGCCAAGGTTAGGCCGTGGCCCGTCCGTGTAGTTCCAAATACCGCCGAACTTCGATTGTTGCTCAAAACATGTCGGTTGCAAACCGGCATCGAGGCAGCATTTGATGGCGGTCAGACCTCCGACGCCACATCCGATAATTGCGACTTTTTTGACGGCCATTTCAGTTCGTTCGCAGGCGAGACACGATATTAAATAAACAATCTATCCTACGAGCAGCGCTTTTAAACAAGCGGTTACCAAAAAGATAGACTAATCGGCTTATATTTAGATTACGACAGCAGAGCTTACACAGGAACACGTAATTCAGTGTTTGGGGTATTTAATGCGTTTTTAAATAATGATAAAAATCGCCACACTTTGGTCCGAAACGTAACGATGCGTATAATATATTCACAGCATGGGCATTCTGACATATACTTAAATTAAACAGATGGAGTCATTTACAAACCTCATCATACAATTTGCCGAATTAATTTCTCTCCTATTTATTATTCTGCTGTTATCAGTGAGCTTCTATATTCTTTATTTACGTCGAATAAAATATGGCCATTTACCAGGTCCGCCCGCAAGCTCATTTTTTAAAGGTAAGCGGAATAAAGGGATGGCCAGCGATACAAATATGAATTACAATTATTTATGTAGAATTTGTCATTAAAAGTTTACTTTGCCCTGTTGAAATCCTTATAAATTTTATAAGACTCAAAAGCCGATTACAATTCGCTCTTCAATTTAATGCATGTTCGAAAAGATGTTTCGTACGTGACTTGTAATTCAGCAACTCAATTAAAAATTATTACAACAAAATTCAAAATGGCCTCTTGTTGTTATTGTGATATTCATAGGGACATAGTATATTCATAATCGCTTTTAAAAGATATATATTGGTTGTAAGGCGAATATACGAATATGTTTAGCTACGGCCCTGCTGTTTACATATTATGCTATCATAAAGTAGCTATATTTATCAGTCATTTGCAATGATAGATGAGGGAAATATTCGTGGTCAATCTTGCGGTTCTTAGCTACGTGCCATTACCGGCAAATTGATCATTGATCCGGCTTCTAGTAATCAAGCCATCATCGACACGAGCGAAAGGGCTGCATGCTTTCCGCTGTCGCGTTTTTTATACGCAGGAACACGCACTTAAAAGTCCAGATCCGTATAAATGTCAATATAATGTCATGTTTGAAAAAGTTAGCTGAATAAATAAACTTTTTTTGCATATTTTAGTATGCATTTGTTGACCCATATGTTAAATAATAAAAATTTGGAGGCAATTGAAATTTACCGCGCGTAAAAAACGCGACAGCTGTAAAGACTGCTTTCTACTTACGCGTTTTTTATACGCACGTACACGTACGGAGAATTTTAAATGCTTTTAAATTTTTATTATTTAACATCTAGGTCAACTAATGCATACTAAAATGTACAAAAATCTAAGTTCCTTCGATTTACTCACTTCGTTTTTTCAAAGGTAACATTGAAAAGTGGAAAACAGCCTTAATGCTGGAGCTAATAACCACGCGTGCCGCTGATAACTTAGCAGATATAGATCTCCGGCCTTTAAGGCGCTGTTACACTATGCAATTTTCCTTGGCAACGTGCAATAAAATTATGATACTGAGGGATGTTACTTTGCAAATGTAAAATGTTCGCTTTGAGTAATTTGACAACTTTAGATGCCTCAGAGGTAGAATTGCATTGCAAGTTGCGAGGAAAGTTGCATGGTGTAGGGATCAAGGATAGCGTGTTTGATATTTCCGTCGCTCGTGTCAAAAGGCTCACAGGCGCAGTTCAAATAATTAGACAACAGATAAGAATAAAGAGATTAAATAGTTTTGAAACATAGAAATCCTCCAACATGCATTGACCGCAGCTAAACCGCTTGATTACTTTGGGGAGGTTAATATATTCATACGTACATACGTAGTCAACAATAGACCTCTTTTTCATAATGACGTCAAACGCGGAAAGTATGATGTTACACGAAGTTTAATTGGCTCGATAGTTTTGTGGAGCAAATCAAATTTCGTGCAACATCAGACTTTCCGCGTTTGAGGTCATTATAAGAAAGGTCTCTTGCATTCGAAAGAAACTAGTCGAGCATAGGACAAATATATTTGAATGTGGAAAACCATGTCCTTGTTCCCAGTTCTTGCTACATGAAATACCAGACTAACGCACTCTTGGGAGTCATTTTGTCACGCCTTGTATGATGAAACGAGATTTGCTTAAGCATTGCTCTTCTTGCCAGGGAACTTTCCTGACATCAAAGCCAAGTTGGATAATGGTTGTTCATCCTTTGAGTTCATGCTCGACTGTCACCTGGTCTATGGCGATGTGGTGTTGATATGGCTATTTCTTCTGCCTTGGATAAATGTGGCCAGCAGCTCCGACATAAAATACGTCCTTGTTACCAAAAAATTCCCTAAAGACCCAAGATTTTACAAGGAATGCCTGGAGACCCTTTTCGGTCAGAGGGCAATGGGTACAAGTTTGTTGACAAATCTCGACGATTCCCAATGGCGCCATCGAAGGTCCCTTATGAACCCCACATTCCACCGTTTGTACCTACGCAATCTTATGTGTAACTTTAATCAGAGTTCGGATACATTTTTGACCAAATTGCACGGCCAGGCTGAAAGAGACCTGGAAACCAGGATGGTTGACGAGTTCTCATTGGTTACTCTGGATGTAATTTGCAAGGCGGGGTTTGGAATCGACCTCGACGTCATCAACGACCCGCACAGCCCGTTTATTCAGGCATACAACCTGATCATGAAGGGTGTCGAAGAGGCATTCGTGAACCCATTTCATAAATGGGATTTCAGATCCTACCCGAGGCAAAGGCAAGTCATTGGAGCACTCCAGTTTCTTCGCTATACTGGGCGCGAAACTATCCGAGCACGACACGAAGCTATCCGACGAGGTGAAGACAACCCAAAGGTAGAATTGTATTGTATTTCCCAATTCCAAAGTAAATCTAATCTATTGTTACAACTGATTGAAATGATGTTTTGTCTCATCAGGATATTTTAGGCCACATTATGTCAGACGGTCGGGATCGGACACTTTCCGGAGAAGACCTGATTGACGATTTCGTCACATTCTTTTCATCCGGGCACGAGACTACGTCATCAACTCTCTCTTTTTGTTTATTGGAACTGGCGAGCAATCAGCAAGCCTTGAATCGAGCGGTAAAAGAGATCAACGACGTCCTGAGCACTAGAAATGACGTCACCTACGACGACCTACCAAAATTCAAATACCTGGACTGTTGTCTGAAGGAAACTTTACGTTTGTACCCTCCAGCCCCGGGGATCATCCGTATAACACCCGATAATGTTACCCTAGCCGGGTACCAAATTCCCAAAGGAACTACCACCAGTGCCAGTCCTTTTGTTATGGGACGCCATCCAGCGCTCTGGGACAACCCCGGAGATTTCATCCCTGAACGTTGGGAATCGAGCGACGACAGTCGAATCTCCGGGTTTGCATACTTTCCATTTTCGCTGGGGCCCAGGAATTGCATTGGACAGCAGTTCGCAATGATGGAAAGCAAAGTGATACTTGCAAAATTCTTGCAAACGTTCACGTTCCAGCTTCTTCCTGGGCAAACAAAACGAATCCATGAACGAGGAAGTCTGCAACCAATGGACGGCGTGATTTGTAAACTGTCAGCAAGAGAAAGCTGAACAAACAATTGATAAAAGTATAATAAATAAATAAAGAAACAAACAAACAAACAAATAAATAAATTTCTCAAGTTTCAAATACATCACGTGAATGTAACATGACGTTCTTCAACGATTGCGACTTTCTGAAAAGTGTGAATAAATTTGTGACATGACACGATGTAACAACATTTCAATTTCGATACACGTCGTGAAAAAGTAAATAAAATTACACAACAAAACATTCCTAAACAATGGACGTGGCCATTATCGGATGTGGTGTTTCAGGTTTAACAAGCATCAAAGCCTGTCGTGATGTCGGCCTAAACCCTGTGTGTTTTGAACAACAATCAAGTCTTGGTGGGGTGTGGAATTACACGGATGACCCTCGACCAAATGTTTCCTCCGTTCATAAATGCACCATTACGAATACTAGTAAACTGTTCACGGCGTTTTCAGATTTTCCTTTCCCAAAGGAGTTTCCAAACTATTTGCCGCAGAATTTAGTGCAAAAATATGTTGAGTTGTACGCGAAAGAATTTGATTTGGCGAAGTACGTGCAATTCAACACGGAAGTCGTGAAATTGGAACGGAGTGCGGATCACAGTGAAACGGGAAAATGGATTGTGTCTACCAGGTAATATCAAAGTTTGTTTGCAACTTTGCACGATTCAATTTTGTACCAATTTAGGCGGTCCATTATTTATCGTTCATGTTGTTCATTGTTGAAATCAGCTACTATATAGAGATCAATGGCTAGAGATGAATGTATCAAATAAAATAAATACATACATACATACATACATAGACTTTATTTCGTCACGCTAGCCTCAACAGTCATTAGGCTGACTGATTTCAATGAGGGGCGTGATATTTTAAAAAAAATGAAGCTACAAAATTACATGGACGTAGGACAGGGAAATTAAGGACATGGAACAGAAACAGTTACAAACAAAATACAGGAGTATAAGTATGAAACACAGGCAAGTCAGTTTCAACTCATTCTTTGTAATATAGATTTAAAAGAAATCACAGATTCCGCAATTTTAGCCTGAGGTGGAAGATTATTCCAAAGCAGGGCACCATTATAACTAAAGCACCTCTTGCCAAATTCTTTTTTTGGCATAGGTGGTGCTAAATCAGTTTCTCTATTCCTGAGATTGTATGAAATGCCTCTATCACTATTAGGACGAAAGACTTCTTTAAGATTGGGAGCGGTGTGGCCATTAAGAATTTTGTAAATAAAGATGGATTTTAGGTAGTTTCGCCTAAATTCAAGAGGTTTCCAATTTAAACTTCTAAGTAGATCAACTGATCGAATATCGTAAGTGGCCCCAGTGATTACTCTTGCCGCTCTATTCTGAAATCTTTGCAGTTTATCTTTAAGACCAATACCGCAATTGTGAATTGTCCCATAATGGGCTGCAGTAATCAAAATAAGGCTGTACAACAGCATTATATAACAATTTTAACGTCGGCAGTGGTACAAAAGGTTTAACTCGTCTTATTGCACCAATACCAGCACTAACTTTAGAGCAGATAGATTCAATGTGTGTTTCCCACGATAACCTTTCGTCAAGGTTCACACCAAGGCACACACATTCACAAATAAAACAAGACAAAATGAAATAAGATGAAATTAATTATATCTCTATTAAAACAGAAAATGGAAAGTCATTATTTTTCTTTAGAAAGCTGGAGGAAGACAATTCTGAGATTACAACCACCTTGTTTGATGCAGTGATGGTATGCAACGGTCACTTCTCACACCAGGTGTGGCCGAATATTCCAGGAATGGAAAAATTCAAAGGGATGAAGGTACACAGTGGGGATTACCGGACATTTCATCCATTTGTTGGAAAGAGAGTTGTTATTGTAGGATGTAGCCACTCTGCTGGTAAGGATTGAAATATTGCATTTGAGTGAATAACATGTTTGATCGGGTTATAATGGCGGATAGGGGGAAGAGGAGATGCTGGATAATTTTTGAACCATTTTTTCTTTCACTAACTAGTGGACATTGCAGTTGAACTAAGTCATGATCATGCTAAACAAGTGTACATCAGCACAAGAAGTGGATGTTATCTTGTGACACGTCTCGGTCCTGGAGGACAACCTGCTGACTTCTTTATCACCAGAGTCGCTTCACTTTTGCCAATGAAATATCTGAGAAAGCTATCACCAGTACTGCTAAACAACAAAGTCAACTTCAAAAACATTGGCCTTCATCCATCAGGCACTTTTGGTGTGAATCAAACTGCAGTTGTAAATGATCAACTGCTGCATCGTATTATTACAGGGCACATAATCATCAAAGGGGATATCAAAGAGATAGCTGAGGATTCAGTCATTCTCCATGGAGGTGAAACGTTAGAAAAGATTGATGCCTTGGTCGTGGCCACTGGTTTTAAACCAATTTATCCATTTGCAAAAGACATTATTGAAGTAAAAGAGGAATTCTACACTAGTTTATATAAACATGTGTTTTTGCCAGACAATGACTGGCATACTCTAGCTGTCATTGGAGCTGTTGGGGTTGGTGGCCCTGTCCCTCCTGTCAGTGAAATGCAAGCAAGAGTTGCTGTAGAGGTTTTCCTGAAAAGATGCAAGTTACCAAGCAAGGAAGATATGGAAACTGAGATTGCAAATAGGGAATGGGCATGGTCAAAAACAGGGGCATCCAAATACTACTTCATGCGGGTAAGCCTAGAATCAAGTAATGACACATACTGTATGACGTTTCTAGGTTTTCCTCTGTCCTGGGTGCTGCATTTGATGTAATTAGACCATTTAATGTTAAATTGCAAACAGCAAACAATTATCATAATTAGGGCCCACCTAGTTGAACTGCAATTAACATAGACTATAGTATGCAGTAATACACTGACATATAATATATGTTTAATTTAAATTTTTTAAGGTTCCATATGTCCCATACATGAATGAACTTGGTGGAATGATTGGTGCAAAGCCAAACTTGTGGTCAATATTCAAAAATGACCCCAAACTGGCCTATCAATGTATCTTCGGTACAACTGTCGCAGCCCAGTACAGATTGCAAGGACCAAACGTTTGGCCAGGTGCTAGGAACCACATCATGACATTTAAGGAACAATATCTGTATCCATTACGTACCAGAAAGTCTTCACCATCAGAAGAAAAAAGAGGTTATGGTGTTCTTGTATTCATCATTGTCGTGGGTCTTGCTATAGTTGCTGTTATGCTCAAGGCATGAAGTGATAAATGCAATCATGAAAGTGCATGTGCCTTACACAGGTCACATTAATTTAACTTTTTCCAACAAGCTAAATCATGCATATTTAGTAGCTCTAATTGCAATATAAATAATATTAATTGACTTTTAGAACTGCTTCTGATAGATAATATGTTTTTTGGTTTTGACAAAGAATTGACAAATTATTTACTAGAAGAGTTTACGGCTTAGAACCTCCTAATTAAAAACTTGTTCAGAACAAGTTGGAGACAAATAATATATAGTGACATACTGACATAAAACTATTAAATAGTTGAAGAATATATTCATTATTGAGATTTTGTAGATTAGAGTGCAGTGTAACTGTGTTTAATAAATGTATTTTGTTCATAACATTTAAGCTACTTTATAGTTTTAATATACTGTATTTAAAATATTTTTCATCAGTTGACAATATACAACATTTTGTGTTATTATTTTTAGGCTTCCAAGTGCATGTAAAAACTGTCAAGTGATGCTCCTCTACAAATCATTGCTAAAATGCTAGCGTATTTTAACAAAACCCTGCTTAATAGAAAGAACTAAACACGTACTTTATATTTTAATATGGAAATGTAAATTACAATTTACCTGACCAGAAATTGCTGTGAATTTCCAGGAAGGTGTTGTGCACGAGTTCGTTGTATAAAGATTCTGGGATCACTTTTTAAACGCAAAATTGCTTTATATTTTTTTGTCTTTCGGTCTTTTGAAGTAATCGACACTGACTTCGATATCTAAATTATTGCAAAGATAATCAAGGTTGACGCTTAATATGCAAATGAGACAAAACTGTATCAGTGCTTACAACATTGATCAGATATTTATTTTCTGTTATTAATTAGTTTGCTGTTAATTAGTTTGATAACTATCAATTATTAATAGTTTGACGATGGAAAAAACATTGGTAAACAATGGCCGCTGTTACTCGGGACGTGGCCATTATCGGCTGTGGTGTTTCAGGTTTAACAAGCATCAAAGCCTGTCGTGATGTCGGCCTAAACCCTGTGTGTTTTGAACAACAATCAAGTCTTGGTGGGGTGTGGAATTATACGGATGACCCTCGACCAAATCTTGGTTCCGTTCATAAAAGCACCATTACGAATATTAGTAAACTGTTAACGGCGTTTTCAGATTTTCCTTTCCCCAAGGAGTTTCCAAACTATTTGCCGCAGAATTTAGTGCAAAAATATGTTGAGTTGTACGCGAAAGAATTTGATTTGGCGAAATACGTGCAATTCAACACGGAAGTTGTGAAATTGGAACGGAGCACGGATCACCGTGAAACGGGAAAATGGATTGTGTCTACCAGGTAATAACTAAATGACACCCTAAGCGTTTACAGGATGAGATCAATTCCACACAAAAATAAAAAGTCATCATTTCTCTATAGAAAGTTGGATGAAGACAATTCTGAGATTAAAACCACCTCATTTGATGCAGTGATGGTATGCAATGGTCACTACTGGCACCAGGTGTGGCCGAATATTCCAGGGATGGAAAAATTTAAAGGGATGAAGGTACACAGCGGGGATTACCGGACATTTCATCCATACAGTGGAAAGAGAGTTGTTATTGTCGGGTGTAGTAACTCTGCTGGTAAGGATGGAAATATTGCATTTGAGTGAATAGCCACATGGAGAAAATGTTTTGATCAGGGTCTATTGGTGGGTGAGGGGAGACTCTAGGATAGGATCACCCTCCTTCATAAGTTTTATGATGGAGATTTCTAAAAGACTTTTCATTGTGATTTATGCGGCGAATAATCATGTGATTTGTTTTTCACTAACTAGTGGACATTGCAGTTGAACTAAGTCATGATCATGCCAAACAAGTGTACATCAGCACAAGAAGTGGCTGTTATGCTGTGACACGTCTCGGTTCTGGAGGGCGACCTGTTGACTTTTCTATCTCCAGAGTCACTTCTTTTCTTCCAATGCAACATTTGGCAAAACTATCACCAGCATTGCTAAACAACAAAGTCAATTTCAAAAACTTTGGCCTTTATCCAACTGGCATCCTCGGTGTAACTAAATTTCCTGTTTGCACAGACAAACTTGTCCATCGTATCATTACTGGGAGTATAATAGTCAAAGGGGATATCAAAGAGATAGCCGAGGATTCAGTCATTCTCCACGGGGGTGAAAGTTTAGAAAAAATTGATGCCTTGGTCTTGGCCACTGGTTTTAAACCAATTTATCCATTTGCAAAGGACATTATTGAAGTAAAAGAGGAATTTTACACTAGTTTATATAAGCATGTGTTTTTGCCAGACGATGACTGGCATACTCTAGCTGTCATAGGAGCTATGGTGGTGAATGGCCCTGTCGCCCCTGTCAGTGAAATGCAGGCAAGAGTTGCTGTAGAGGTTTTCGCCAATAGATGCAAGTTACCGAGCAAGGAAGATATGGAAACTGAGATTGCGAACAGGGAACGCACATGGTCAAAATCGGGGGTAACCAAATACAACTTCATGCGGGTAAGATTAGAATCAATACACACTGTATGACGTTTCTAGGTTCTTCTTTGTCCTGGGTGCTGCATTTTTAAAATTTGACCATTTGAGTTAAAATTGCAAACAATTATCATAATTAAGGTCCACCTGGTTGAATTGCAATTAACATAGAATATAGTGTTTAGTAATACACTGAAATATTTTAAGGTTCAATATGTCCCATACATGAATGAACTTGGTGAAATGATTGGTGCAAAGCCAAACTTGTGGTCAATATTCAAAAATGACCCCAAACTGGCCTATCAATGTATCTTTGGTACAACTATCGCGGCCCAGTATCGATTGCAAGGACCAAACGTTTGGCCAGGTGCTAGGAACCACATCATGTCATTTAGGGAACAGTATCTGTATCCATTACGTACCAGAAAATGTCCACCACCAGAAGAAAAAAGAAATTATGGTATTCTTATATTTATCTTTGTGATGGGTCTTGCAATAGTTATTTTATTGTTGAAGACATGAGATAGTAATTACAATTATGAAAGTATGTCAAACATACTAGGTCATGAATAGTAATTGTTCCAAACAAGCCAACTTTGTAAATATACTGGGTTATGCTTTTCAATGACAAGTTTATAATTTTACATATTATAATTAGCTTTCAGAACTGCTTCTGATAGATCATATTTTGATGAATTTGACATTACCAAATTACCAGAGGAATTTAGGTTTCATCTGGGAATTGAAAACTTGTTTTGTAATAAGTTTGAGACAAATAATATTGATTATGTTGAATAATGTTTTAATACAGAGTAATATATAGTATAACTAAGTTTCTAATAAATGTATTTTATCATAATATTCAAGCTACTTTGTATTATTTGTTATCAAGGGCCAGTTGTATAAAAGACTAGTTAACTAGACTTAGTAACTGTTAGACTTTTAACTGTAGTTAAGTACAGAATTGACCAATCAGAGTTGTGTATTTCTGACTTAACTAGGATTTAACAATGCAAAATGTAGTTGAAGGGTTTTATACAACCGGTCTTAGATAGTAATTAACAGTGTATAGTATATATTATTTTTAGCTGAAATATGTTTAAAGTATTATATTTTAGTTTTCCCAGTGCATGTAAAACAAGTGATGCTCCTCTACAAAATCTTGCTAAAATGCTAGCAGATTTCAACAAAGCCTTCATTTGGAGGAGCTAATCATATACTTTATATTCTATTATGGAAATACAGAGTACATGATTACCTGGCTGGAAATTGCTGCAAATTTCCAGCAAGGTGCTGTGCATGAGATACCTTGTATCCTAATTCTGGGATCACTTTTGAAGCACAAATTGCTCAATGAATTCCTTTTGCTCTTCTTCTGTCTTAAGAAGTGACTCGTACTGACGTCGATATCTGGATTGGGCCAAAAGTACAGTGAGGAAATAACGCACAGCCCTAAAGGTGCACTGCAATGAATTCTAAAATACCTTTCCAGTTGGACTTTCTTCTCACCAATCAAAGCCTGCAATTGCTGTTGCTCTGTCTCTCGTTGCTTCTCAACTGATTTTAACAAATTTCTTGAACCAATGGCCTAAAAAAGTGCAACAATATAATAATTTCATGTCACATCAGGTTAGTAACCTTAGACTAGCTTTCCAAGACCAGTTTTGCTTTCCAAATAGCATCTCGTTCTTGTCAACAGCGGCGTAATTATATAGTGGCATGTCTATTTACCACCGCCAGTATGGCAAGTATATATCATGCAACCAAGCAATCAGGGCCACAATTTTAATGTCTTCTATTTATTTACTTGTATTTTTTTAAAATATTTGCTGCACAATTTGCACACTTTCCAGAAGAGCACTGCAGTATCATGTGTGTGACCAGAGAATCATTCTACTGTAGGTACTACTTATATCAGACAACTTTATCAGACAACTGTGGTGTCTCAAAATTTCAGGACTTTTATAATTCTATAACCTTACCTTCATTTTTTCATTTTCAACTTCCTTGGCAAGGCCATCAACCATCCCAATAAAATTTCCCACAATGCTTTGAAACTCAGATATTTCTAGGAAATAAAAAAGTGGATATCTTATACATAAAGTTACATTTTATAAACTGTCAGATATGAGGAAAAATAATAGACATTGAGCCACTCAATACTGCACAAGTCCAAGTTTTTACACCAAAAATACTATAACTACAAAATAACTATGTTATAAAGTCGATTCAAAAGACTACAAAACGTATCAAGTTGCCAAAATTATATACAAAATCATGCAAGGACGGAAGGACCAAAATGGAAAAAAATCATGCAGTTCAAATTTCACTTAAAAAAAGATAATTTAACAAATGTTTGCCACAATATACTTACTGTCGACGAAATCTTTACATTCTTCTTTCAATTCCTGAGTTTGTTGGTAAACCTCTGGCTCAAGAACACGAACTTTCGACAATTCATCAAAATGAAATCCACTCGCTTCGTCCGCCATGTTTATCTGTTGCCATGGGTTCTTCCCCACTGAGCTATATTAAATTTCTGGAGGACTGGCTCTTGACAAAAAAATGAGGCAAAAAACATGGCGGATTTTTTCGTGCTGACGCCAGATATGGTCCCAATCAATGGGAATGACCACTGACAACCGCGATACAGTGCTTCAGGCGCACTCCTTCAGTCCTTCGCCCTCCGGCTGCCTTCGAAAAATATTTTTTGTTTTTTGTTTTTTTTTCAAACGAATCCGACTATTTTCGACTATTTTTTCGACATTTAAAAACAATGGACTCTTTTTTATTTGCCATTTTCCGGCGAATATGACCATGGTCGTATTTGCCATTTTCCGGCGAATATGACCATGGTCGTATTTGCCATTTTCCGGCGAATATGACCATGGTCGTATTTGCCATTTTCCGGCGAATATGATCATGGTCGTATTTGCCATTTTCCGGCGAATATGACCATGGTCGTATTTGCCATTTTCCGGCGAATATGACCATGGTCGTATTTGCCATTTTCCGGCGAATATGACCATGGTCGTATTTGCCATTTTCCGGGGAACATGACCATGGTCGTATTTGCCATTTTCCGGCGAATATGACCATGGTCGTATTCGCCATTTTCCGGCGAATATGACCATGGTCGTATTTGCCAAGGTAAATATAAAGGACAAATGGGGAAAATATTCCTGTGTTTTTTGATCAGCTTATTCAGCTAGTTTGGCAATCTTGGACCTGTTCAAATTTTGAATTAATTTTTCAAATGGGAATAGAAAAGACTGAGTCTGAGCACAAATGACAATGAACTGATTCCCACATACAAAATCAAACTGTAGTTTAGAGTTAATACTCTGTCTCATATCATAAATGGTGAATATGTGATACGACTTAAGCCAACCAAGCGTACCTAAACGGAAATAATTTCCGTTTTCTTGAAATATGATATGAAAAACTTCATATTCAAATTCTTTCGAGATTTTAGTTCGCTAATGTTTTCAGATATCACCATTATTTACTGAAAATTTTCAGCTTTAAGTAATCGTATGCCACATTTAAAGCACGACAAGTACGTGTCAGTTGTGTAGAACTTAAAATGAAATAAACAAATAGTAGAAAAAAAGGTCGAAAAATAAAAATTCATAACGAAACAATTTACCGCTAAGTGTTTTAAAAAAATATGCAGGGGGGAATGAATGTTGGAGCGGGCTCAATATTGAGCCCTGTCAGTGGTCATTACCATTGCGCAGTGGGACCATATCTGGCGTCAGCACGAAAAATCCGCCATGTTTCTTGCTTCACTTTTTGAGCCCAAAACATTAGGAGCCGGTGCTCCAGGAATTATTATATAGCTCAGTGGTTCTTCCCGCTTGGCATTTGTAAAATAACATCCTTCACAAGTCGAAGGCAAAAAAAATGCTTCTGTGCTTTAGCAAGTATACTGTATACTTGCTTTATCTACAGTTTGACTTTGAGCAAATTTTGAGCAAACTTCGACCAAGATACGAGATGGCAGTGGTTTTTAATATTATGCAAACATTTTTTCCAAGAATTTATCCACAGACTCATCATTACACATGCAAGTCTACCTGATTAAATGACTAAAATTACCCTGATTGACCAGCCAAGCATTACAGGTGAGCAATCAAATTAGAAGGTTCACACTAGAAAGTTGTAAAACCAACTACCCGAACTAGTCTTAGCCAGGACATAGGCGAACGGCATCGCATGCACAACAATTGAACTGGTTCAAGCCCAGGTTGCCAGAGTTTAGACGTACATACTATAAAATTTCAACTACTTACAAAATGATTAAAGTTTCTAATTGTTTGTTTAATTACCTCTGGCCAACTTTTTACTGAATTCATTAGGTGTCATTGTTGATAATATACTTCAATATATGCACAAATGTTACATAACCAGTGATAAGTTTTTATAAACACCGGTTTGTGACAGGCCGAGCCTTAGGAATCATTTTGGCGTATGTAAATAACGAGATAATCTAATTGGCGCGCCTCGCGAGTCGCGACAAATAGGCGAGGGTCGCGACAAATAGGCGCGACTCGAGCAAAAAAGGCGCGACTGGAACAAAAAACGAGCGACTCCAGACGAAAACGTGTATATTAATTTCGAGAAAATAATCGATACATCGCAATTACACCGAAAAATAATTTATTTAATTCAATTTTATACGGTCGCGCGAGCGAATTTTTCCCAAACGTTCACCATCACGAATAGACAATGGTTGAGTCGCCAATCAGAATGTAGGATTTGTAATAGACAATAGTCGGGTGTATACTAAATAATAATATTTAATTTGTTTTTTCCAAAACAAACCAGATTTACCAAACTCATCTGTTGGAAACCAGATATTAGATAGAAACTATAGCCAAAGTCCTTGGTGTGATTATCCAGGATGATTTAAAGTGTAACGAACATATCGCAATGATTACTTCTAAAGCGTCATAGCGATTATATATCCTGCAGGTTTTGCAACGAGGAGGGATTCCACCGCATGATCTTATCATAATTTGGTTGGAGTCCGTTTTAGAATATTGTTGTACAGTGTGGCATTGTGCACCGCCTGGGTATCTATCTGATGAAATTCAAAAACGCGCATTGAGGATTAAATTGCCAGGTCGATCTTACAGTGAAGCGCGAGAACTGCTGCAATGTCCTAGACTTGGTAATCGTCGAAGCGAACTTTGTCAGAAAACGATTAAAAAGATAGCATCAGGCAGCCGCTTATTGCGTCACCTAACCCTGATTGAAGACGAACATCGATATAATTTAAGAAACATTCAATAGTTTTCCTCTTTTAATGTAGAACAGATAGGTTTAAAAACAGCTTCTTCCCCCAGCATGATTAATACATTAAAATAGGTAATTTTAAACTAAATTTTGAACTATCTTGTAAAAATAGGTATTCTTATTTCTATATAATATATAGCTACGTGTAGATAATAATCTTGTAAGATACATTGTAATTCATTTTTTTGCGACGATGCAACGTTATTAAATCTCAAATCATCAAATCAAAATTTTGTAACAAGAAGTAAAGTTGCACTATAACTATTCGTAAAATTTATAATTATAAATGTTCGTGTGTCTTTGTGTTTCCGTCTGGTGCTCATATACAAACATTAAACAATATAACCATGCTTTAGTTATGATGTCAAATATTTTGAAATGGATAACAACGCTGTTTTAATGGTCAAATGCTTGTCCTATGTAAAGTTTCCAGCATGTTTGGCGCTCATATACAAACATTAAACAATATAACCATGCTTTAGTTATGATGTGAAATATTTTGACAT